CTCACTTCGGTACCTTCTTTCCTCTGAGATATTGGTACCTCACCTGTTGGCTCATCAGATCACTGCATTGTTTCTTGTTGTATTAGGTTTTTTCAAACCCCGAGCCACCACCCACCACGAGACACACATTCTGGCGCCACAACTCACCCAACTGGGACGGTTTCTATGATCTCCTAGCTGCTTATCCCTGGAACGATTGCTGTTTCTCTTCGGATGTTTCCAACTTCACCGACGTTGTTCTTCATGGTATGCATCTTTTTATCCTGCATCTTTCTCAACCCGGCGAACCCAAATCCCTTGAATGTGCTGTACGCCTAAAACCTTCAGCTTTCCGCCGCTCGCTCACCCTCCTCTTCCGCCATTGCTTCGTGCAAGCTAGGAACAGATGCTCGACGACCATTCAGAGAACCAAAGAACGCTTCGTTCGCCGTAAAGCCGAATAGGCGGTCTCGTCCGCCACCGGTAGCCGACCATTTTGTTCCCTTGCCAAAACAATTTCCCGTAATTTCTGCCCTTCCAACTCCCCCCCATTTGTAATCCCTCTGGTGATGTTGTATGTCAACCACTTAAAAAGGCTAAGGTTTTTACCTCCCAATATGCCACCAGCTCCACCTTACCTCATTTTTCTACACCTCCGCTTTCTTCCTTCTTCACTGGCAACCCTTTTCTACCACAGCACTAGGAAAATCCGTCAAACATCGCTCTCTCTAAACGCAAGCAAACCACCCGGTCCGGACGGTATTTCACCCATCGTCCTCAAAATATGTTCTCCCCAGCTGGCTCTTATTTTACGTCGCCTCTTCAGTCTTTCCCTCTAACTTTATTCCTTTGCAACATCCTGAAAATGCCGTGATTTTTCCCATTCCCAAACGCGGCCACCTTTCTAATCCAAACAATTACCAACCCATTTCCCTCACATCTGTTCTGTCAAAAGTGTTGGAAACGATCCTCTGAACAACTGTGCACATTCCTTGAACGTGAAGGACCACTGAGCGACCGCCAGTATGGCTTTTGACAGCGTCGTTCCACCGGTGACCTGCCGGCTCTTGTCTCACAATCCTGGTCAGCTTCACTCGATAACCACGGAGAAACAAAATTGGTCTCGCTTGACATCTCGAAGGCCTTCGACCGCGTTTGGCATGAAGGTTTACCGGCGGAACTACCCACGTTCGGGTTCCCTCCGGTGCTCGTATCGTGGATATCAAGTTTCCTCAGTGAGTGCACCATCTCTGTCCGAGTTAATGGGGTTCTATCTCAGCCATTCCTTGTGAACGCTGATGTTCCCCAAGGTTCAGTACTTGCGCCAACCCTCTTCCCTCTATTTGTCAGTGATCTCCTTTCCCAAACTGCCAACCCAATCCATTCTTTTGCTGATGACGCTACCTTCCACTGCTCCCTCTCCTACCGCACTGCTCGCCATGCCCAAAACCAACATCGATGGTGACCGTAGGGCAGTTAATGTGTCACTGGTCTCCGACCTCGAACACATCTCCTGGGGCTCCCTGGCTGGGGACCTCTGGGTGAATGAACCGATGGTTAGACTCACTGAGTGATATGGCTACATGTCACAAACAGTGGCGTTCGTGCATCTTCTCAATTTCTCTGCATCATTAGTCCACTGAACTTTTCAATTTTCTTGTCGATCCTACTTTCAACCTTCCTGTTTTCCTCCTATTGTTCACCCAAATGAGCAGCCAAAAGACAGCAACCAAAAGCGTCGCACGGAAATGCATGCTTAATGGTTGTTTCAACTGAAACTGAAAAGTGGGGCATTGCAAACCACGTTTCATTCGATATTTCTAAAAGCCCTCTTCTTCCAGTTTCCTGAAAACATCTCTCATTCTCCTCCCCCCATTTATCTTTTAGTTCCACTCAACTGCCTTCTACAGACTCTGTTTCCCTTCTTCTATTGCGGACAACTTCTTTATGCTGGTCTCTTTTTATAGCTAAGTTTGCCTTTCGTGCTGCGCGCAAGTTTGGATTTCTATTTCGCCTCAGACATTTTTTTTCCATCCCAGCTTATCTTCCATTGTATAAAGCTCAAATCCACCCTGCTCTTGAATACTGTAGTCACATGTGGGGTGGGGCTTCGTCTTCTTCCCTTTCCCTTCTTGATCGTTGTCAAAGAAAGACCATCCGGTTAATCCATGATCCTTCTCTAACATCCAGTCTGCAGTCGCTAGCCCATCGTCTGTCAGTTACTGAATTGTCCCTGTTCTACCGCTCCTACTTTGGTTTTTGTTCTTCGAATTTGCCTCGGCAGTTCCTCTTCCTGCCACTTTTACCTTCCCATCTCGTACACAAGCATCTAGTCATTCTTATCAGATTTATGTTTCCAGATACCGTACTTCTCTGCTTCAATCTTCTTTTTTCCGAAATGCCAACCTGTGGAACAGTCTCCCTCTTGCAGTATGCTATTTGTTCATTGTGTAATAAAAAAGAAGTGTCGCCCTTCATTGAAGCTGGCCAACAGTTTATTCTATTCCACGTCTTCCTTTTAGCTGCGATTTGTTCCCAAACATTCACCTCCGGATGTGAGGCTCGTGGAGCGTTTGGCTGAAATGGACCGCCAAAAGCCAAGCACGAAAAGGTGCGCCTGAAAGTTCTTGGTTTTTCGTGGTTCAAAGTGACTGAAACTGAAACGGTCCAACCGTATTCCGGCCATGTTTTTCAGGTCCTCGAAATCCTCCAAGAATCTCCGAACATTTCCGTGCTGATACTTGGCATTACACAGAACTTTCATTTTGGCACTGATTGCCATAAATCTGTCAATCGAGTTCTATTCTGAATAATTGTTTGTCGCGGAAGGGAAAAGCAGGGAGGACAAAGTGGCTAAGAAAAATGCAAAAATTTGTCGAACTTCCAGTCGTTTGTTCACCTAAGTTGTCGTCCCCCACAGAATCCACTTCTCGGATGCTTCCAGACGCCTTAGGAGGTTGAGGGCTTTCCCAATATGTACTCAAAATCACCACTCGCAAACAGTCCAGTATGTACGTCACTGCACTGGCAAGACGTACTTCTTCGTTAGCTTTCACTCTGGTTGCCACGATCCTTGAANCTTGAATTGTCCCGTTTTATGAACTATTCATACAATACAGGATTTGGAATGTAGTCAAGACGTTAGACAATTCAATGTTGCCTTATCCGTGTGGTAGTGGCGCCGTGGTTTAGTCGCTGTCACCAGCGTGCATTGGACCCCATGGTCCGAGTTTCGAGCCCAGCCAACCGACTTTAGTGGTAGACAGCTCTGCATTTGTCCGGTTCAATAGCACACCTAACATATCGGGGCCTTATGCTGTTCACTACTCCACGTTTCAGGGATTAGGTTGCNCTATGGGGTTTACCCTGTCTGCTGTTTGTCACACTTAGGTACGTAATAAAAAGATACGCTTGAACTCTCCTAAAACTGTTGCAGTTTATCGTAACTATTCTTTCTCTTCAATCCACTTGAATTAAACAATGAACGATTGATCGGGATTGGTATTGATCATCAATTGTGCTTCCTCTCAATTAGTCCTCATGAGATACAGATGTAGATTACCTGGGCACTGGGTCAAACATCTTTCTGAACAGGATAAGGTTATTCCTGGAATATACCAGCGACACAAATTGAATGAAAAACGCAGTTTAGCGAAAAAGCTTTTTTGGGTGACTCATAAACTGGCTATTATGTCACATTTTATATCACATCATTTTGTATAGAAAAGTGGAAAAAAAGTAATAATGATTATTCAAGTGGGGATTGTTGTTGTTTTCTGTCTCAGTTTCACAAAACCGGATATGGCTGATCCTTCCATCGGGACTTACGTTTGATCCTTTCTACTTGTGTGATTTCGGGGGATGGTATTGGGAGGGGGAGGATGAGAGGTGGAGGGTCATGGTAGGTTGAGTGACTTCACAAGCTGTTTTGGGNGGGTTATGTAGATGAATTCCAACCGCCTCTGCGGTGGCTAGGATACGGTTTTTATTCAACTTTGATCTGGGACCCCAAACCCGGTAGAGACCAAAATGCTTCAAGCACACTCACTGTGTGATCGGACTCAACGAGCCAAGTCCCTGTATGTTGTCTCCTAATTAGGGGCCATTGTCATGTTTTATTTTGCTATATTGGAAAATGACTGATTGTTATTTATCCTCTTGTATTGTTTCTTCGTGAATCATCACTCAATGGTAACATGATAATTCGGGTTAGTAGGCAGCCGCGTTGTCGCAAAACATTGTATGCAAGTATCTATTCGGCGATTGAAAGAAATGTATGCTGAATAGATGAGCGGTCTGCTCCAGCCGCCACTGTCCCATTCACATATGTGACCGCATCATTGTCTTGCGACTTTTGTCTCACTCATGTATCCTCCTTTTTCTCACATGCCTTTGACGCTGGTCACATTATTTACGTGCAGTTTACTGCGCGTTGTCTAATTTCGATCGTGAGCTGATCACATAGCACTCATTTTTGTGCGTGTTTTCAGAAACAGCCCAGCAGTGTCCCGAGGATTACTCTACCTTGATCCTACGGACCGGCTTTACGCCCAAGATTTCTGTGACGGCCTTTAATGAGGAATAGCTCTACATATTGAGACCTTTGGTTGCGTCTGTCACGTCTGACCCTTGCATTGCTCGGAGGGACCACTTAGCGGGATATCCTTTCCCGAAGCTCGGCCCTATCGATTTTTGACCAGGGTCGTCCCCAAATTGGACCACACATGCCTTTTTCCCAGGCTGAATCGCTGAACGTCAATATAGTTCACTGTGCCTAAACTGATGAGACTTTAGGTAATTCGCTACTGCAACCCGACACATGAGTTACTAGTGCAGTTTTATGTTTGCATACGGAGTCAATTGGATTACTCAACACACTGTTTGGACATCCAATTTATTCAGCTTTGATCTTGCGCATTTCATTGCTCATGAAAATTCTCATAAACTTCTCGCGATGACAGAATCACTAATGCTTCGTACAGCGCGCTATCCCCTTAAGCAATTTTTCGTGTTTAAACCCTATGGTATTGTGCAGCTATCCTTCTGTAGCTAGTTCAGGTTTGTCATCATTCACGGATAAACTTCAATAAGCACTGATACACCCCCTTTATTGTGCTAAATGAATATGATTGCACTGAATTGCAAAATGCCCCTATTTGTTTTGTATATTCAACCAGGTTTGAGTTTACAGTTTTCAGATGAGATCGTTTTTCATGGTCAGGTTCGCCGCTTACTTCTTCCAAGAATGACGATGCTCATTGCAACTCACCGTCTGTTGCCCTCTCCATTGTGAGCACCACAGAGGTATGCGAAAATCAATTGATAAGTCGCGTAACCTGGGTAATACATTACGAGGGTCGCAAGCACACGACCAAATCTGATCTAAATGTCTATTTGATTTTTTCACTCTGTTACTCTCTCTCTCTTTTCTCCTTCCCATCACTTTTCAGGTTCCATATTGCCCAAAATGTGCAGATGGTGTTTTAAAACCGGATGTTGTCTTTTTTGGGGAGAACCTCCCACCGGAACGCAAAATCAAAGCCGCATCTTGGATTGACAATGCGGATTTGCTGCTTTGTTTGGGCACATCATTGCAGGTAATTCCCACAATTGTCAGTCTTCCGAGTGTTTTTATTGTTTTTTGGTCTTAACCCGTTTCCATTTACCTCACTTTCAGACATTTTCGTCCTATCGGCTACTGCTGCAAGCGCACGCGACCGGAACACCGATTGTGATCGTTAATGTTGGTCCTACGCGTGGGGACTCGCTCTCTTCGCTCATCCTGAACTCGGGCATCTCGGACACCTTAAGGCTCGTGCATTCACTGATTGTTTGATTCTGTGCATTTCTCTCTCGTTTCTTCCTTTTTGACCTAACAACCCCCTTACAGATTTTTCTCCTGATATCCGAACAGAACTTACGTCATTTGATCTAGTGCGTGACACATCCGAACTCGTGTTGTGCTTTTTTCATCTCAGTAATATGGGTGAATTTTTCTGCCAGAAGAACTTCTACCATGCAGATTAGTACTTTTATTTTCTCTTTACCCTGAGTCGTACTCCAGAAGCGAATCAATTAGAAACGTTGAAGAAAATACAATGCAGCCTGCTATGTCGCACCTATTGGGAATTCGAAAAAAGTGGGCAACTTCCAGGTACTGTGGTAGCATGTTAGTCAGCCGTAGATGCTAATAAGTAGTATGAAAAGTCGGTTAGGAGTTTTGTGACAAAATAAACCGATTCGATTAAATGTATGTGAGTTCCGTTACTTGTTCCCAGTGTTTATAATGATGTTCTATTTATTTATAGCAGAATTTAAATATACCGCCCTATGTATCTGCTACGGGAAGCCTAACCTTCCCCTGAGAATTCGCGTAGTTTGAAGTTGGAATGGATTGGGATCAGCCGCTACCGGGAGAATGTGTTAGGGTTTACTCGAGGGTCTTGGGTACGTAGTCGTCAAGGCAACGAACAGAGAACGGCAACCTGGTTTGTGCAATCTCTCGGTCGGCGCCCTTGTAACCCAGATTCCAGAGAGATGAACAGACTGTGATCGACCCCATATATACGGCGAGTTTCTCTCTTTCTCAATCTACGTTTCTGTTGGCGCTACCAATAAGTTCAGTTCAGTTCGTATGAATTGTGCCGGTGCGGTTTATTCGAGTTCAATAAAAAGTATGACAACAGTGAAA